ACACCTCACAGTAACCTCAACAAACTCTTGGGCTCAAGTGATCCCTTTGCCTCAGCCTCCTGAGTAGCTGGGACTACAGGCACCTGCCACAACACCTGGCTAGATTTTCTATTTTTAGTAGAGAGGGTATCCCTCTTGCTCAGGCTGGTCTCCTCCTGAGCTGAGGCAATTGACCCTCCTCAGTCTCTCAAGAGAATCAGTCTCTCAAGAGTGGTAGGATTACAGGTGTAAGCCACTGCACCTGGCCAGTTTTCAGTTTCTTAAAGACAGTATTATAAAAACACAGTTTTTATAGTTCTTTTACAATCTTTTTTTTTCTTTTGAAATATTTCATTAGAAAATGTGATATTTCTTTTTTCAAATTATAAGACTTAATAGATGCAAAGTTCTTTTACAATCTTTGAGACACATTCTCACTATCAAAATATAAAACCAAAACTGTCAGTACCACAGTCAGTTATCATTAAATTTCATATATTGAACCTCTGAATCCCATTGTTTCTGTCCAGCTAAGAACAAGACAACCTGGACTTCTAAATACCATCCCTATTCTCCCTCTACTATCCATTAACATACACTGTTGTTAACCTAGACTATAAACCATTGCCAAAACTGCCAAGGTCTGTAACTTTGTTCAAATTTTTACCTCTGCCTACAAACAACCTTCCTCTTTGTCTCTTACATAAATCAAATGTCTAGTTGAATGATACCTTGTGTGAGGCTGTCCCCAACATACTTTTACCATCACCACCAGCATTTTAAAGGGTTCTGCAAGTATGAGTCTCCTCTGTTACATTAATATCATATGCTTTTTTAAAAAGAAGGAACAGTGTATGTTGTTCATTTTTTCTTCTTCTTTCCTTACTTCCAAAGGCTTAAACCTTTTTTTTTCCTTTGGAGACAGAGACTCCCCCTGTTGCCCAGGGTTGAGTGCAGTGACATCATCAAGTATCACTTCAGTATAGCAAACTGCAGGGCTTGAGCGATCCTTCTGTCTCAGCCTCCTAAGCAGTTGGGACTACAGGCACCCATCACCCTGTTCAGCTTTTTGTTGTGTGTGTGTGTGTGTGTGTGTGTGTGTGTCTAGAGATGGGTTCCTTCTATTACCTAGGCTGATTTCCAGCAATCAATTGTCCTGCCTTGGTCACCCAAAGTTCTAGGATTACAGACATGAGCCACCATTTTTATTAAGTCCAATATTTAATCAATATGTAGCACACAGTTTAATATAATTCTTCTGGAAAATAATTACTTAACATTCAAAATATTCCAGATACTTTCCTAGGTGCTAGGAATAAATCTGTATTCCTATTTTTAGCTTCATGAAGCTTGAGAGCTTACATTCCAGTCAGGAGACCTACAATACAGGGGTGAAAAAGGAATATATAGCATATGTAGCAGGTTAGTGAAGTCTTTATTGAGAAAAAAATTAAGCAAAGAAAGAAGTATTGTCAGAGAAAGAGGATTAAAATTATAGAAAGGCCTAATGCAATAATAACAACTACAACAGCAGTAATATCTGAATATTCAATCATATTCTAATTAGTACACTAATGGCTTTACATGTAATACCTGATATAAGACCAACACGACCTCATTATTATCCCATTATTATCTTCAAGAGGGACCGAAATCCTAAAAAAGTAACTCTCCGAGGTTATACAGTCAGTGAAGTTGTGAAGCCAACCACGCTTTTTCTTTTGTTCAAGGAACAAGTGAAAAAAGTGAATGCCCCCTACAAAAAAGATTCAAATAACAATAAATTTCAGCCTCAAAGGACCAATACATTTGAGAAGTTTCAGATACACACTGCACATCAACAGCTATGTATGACAGATGCCATGACAAATAACAGGTGCCGATGGTGAACAAAAATATTTATAAATTCTGATAACATCTCAATATCTTTTAAAATATACTTTACATTTCTGCATGACAATTATAGTATCTCACAAATCACATGGATAGGTGTGATATTGTGCTATAGTAAGAAATAGATATTTGGCCTCTGCCCCTGGTTCCAAGCAAACAGCTTCTAAAATCCTAGGAATCTCCTAAAGTGGTAATAGTGTCCTTTGTGCGCTAATGCGATGACTGTTATCTTGGAGCCCCTAGGTAGCTTCAGGATGTGCACTAGTAATCAGGAAGGTGTAGGCATGATTAAAGGGTCAGAACTTTCAGCTCTACACCCCAAACTGTGTTGAGTAGAGAGGGGCTAGAGGTTGAGCTGATCACCAGTGGCCCCTGATGTAACTGTGAAGAGGTCTCCACAAAAAGCCAAAAGGACAGGGTTTGGACAGCTTTCAGACTGAATACTTGGAATTTCCACAACTGAAAAGAGCACAGCAGCTCTGTAACCCTTTCCATATGCCTTGCCTTATGTATCCCTTCCTTCTGGCTATTCTTAATGGCCTTTATTATCAATGGGTAAATGTAAGTAAAGTGTTTCCCCGAGTTCTGTGAGCTGCTCTAGTAAGTCAAATCCAAAGAAAAGGTCCGGGGAACTCCTGAGTCACAGGCAGTGGTGAGAAGTATAGGTCA